GCCCTCCCAGCAGTGCCACGTATGCTGGGACGTGCTGTCCTTCTCGCTGTGTTAGTTTTAGGAGATTAGGAACATGCCTAAACCCAAGTGCATGTTGGAAATGATGTTTCACACACAAAGCAGTCTGGTTTGGAGGGAAACAGCAACGTTTCTGTGATTAAATGAAAATAATTGGGGTTAAAAGGGGAGGAAAATGAAATTTCTTTGCAATTACTTGGATTTATTCTAAGAAAGAATGATATACCTTGTCAGTTTTATCTGCTCTCCACAATTCTCCCTTTATGTTTTTCTTTCTACTTTTAGAAATGAATTTGGACTCCTTTGCCTCATTAATGAGAGATTACCTAGCTTGGCGAGAAGTTTTGTGTGTTAGAAATGGGCTTTACTGATACAGCTCTGTAACACTGATGTGCTCTTCTGTTCCAAAAACCCCTTCTGCTAAAACCCAAACAGAATAACATGGCTATTTCCCCAAATTATTGTTCAAACATATGGAAGTCATTCCCTTCTCAATGGTTTTGGTGTTAAGGAGCAAAGAAAGCTGCTAACATTGTCTGCTCTCCATAAATCCTCCTTTACTATATGGTTCTTCCCAAGCTACCCAGGTAGGGTTCTTAAACCAGGACAGTACTTGGGATTTAAGAGAAAATAATACAGCTTGTTTGATGCACTTTGCTCTATAAGCATCCAATTTAAAAAAAAAACAAACATAATTTAAAAATTAAACAAACAAACAAACAAGCCCAGAAAATCCTGTAAAGTCTAAGGACAGAAGGTGCTTTTTGGGTGCAGATCAGCATCTGAAGTATCCAGTTCAGCTCTGGTGAGACACACAAACCTTGCAAAAGTTTAACAGTGACTGAAACAGCACAACAGAGACATGTGGTGGTGGTGGTGAAAAGAGAACAATCCCAAGAATTCCCCTCTCCTGTTTCCCTCTGTCATTCTCCTCCCTTCTCCAGCCTGAAGTCCTGGAAAATACGGTTGCTTGTCATATGAAGCTCCTCTAGTTTTTGGATTTTCCTTGTTGCCTCTCACTATACATTTCCTATTAGACACTTTTTTTGAGACGGCGAATAACTAACTGCACACTGCATCCCAGAAGTGGGCATACCTCATACTTAGCAGTGTAATGATGGTCTCTAGCCCTTTCCTAACAATTTCCACCACTTCACCTACCTTTCTGATTGCCGCTAAGTGCTGAGCCAATGTTTTCATAGAATGATATGAGGTAACCTCTCTATCATCATGACACTAGATTGACCCAATTGATTGACTAATTGACCACTAATTGTACACAATGATATTAGCTGGCTGATGCCGACTCAGAGTATCTCATTTCATGTGAAAAGATAGGACTGGTTTTCTTTTTCCCCATTAATATCTTTTTACATTGCTTATGTCACATTTCATTTATTTTTGTTGTCAGTCACTCACTCAGCATCACTCAGCTAAGTCTACTTTTTGTTACTGTTCACACCCATTTAATCCCTGTCCTTGCAATTTGTTACTATTCATTTTGCTCCTTCACTTCTTCTTGTCATCCTCTGGATCCATCAGGAAAAATTGATTCAGCCACTACAGCATCCCTAAATTCCTCCACCGTGAACAGAGATGCTGAAAAGCCCCTCCTTGCCTCCAGTTCTGGCTTCATCTGCTCTGGGAACCCCTAGCACTGGCCCTGCAGACGTTCTGGCAGCCTTCAACCTCCTCATGTGTTTGCAAAAGCAGATGTTATTAACTTGTAAAGCATCTTTGAACTTCTCATGGGGGGCTGCTGCATTTGGTGTATTGTTTCTAACCAATTGCTTTCCTCATTTGAACACCTCTGCTTTCTTTTTCTTTTTTTCTTTTTTTTCCGAGGATGTTTTTGGGTTCCTATACCATCTCTTGCCAACCCACCTGGCTATGTCAACCTCCTTTGCATTTCTGCACCCCAGTCTCTCCCATGTAGCTCTCAAGAGGAACGTGCTCAATCATGCCTTTCGCATTAATTTGGAAAATGGCGTGAAATTTTTCCCTTTTTGTGGGTTTCCAGATTAGCTGGTCCCTGAAGTTGCTACGGAGTGGGTCTAAATAAAATTAGAGTATGTGTTGGGCCCTATGTGACATGTAGCTGCCTGGATGGACGTAACCCAAATTCCTCTTCCCACTCGTGTTTCCTGCCCGTACAGCCTCCCTGGTCACTCTCAGGATACTGTCACCAGCAGACACAGGCAATCAATGGTGACACTTTAATAGCATTTTTATTTGGGCTTGGCTGTTACTTGTTGAGAGGGTTAACTTGTGATCTGATCTGACTGTTAGTCCTTATCTCTGGAAATGATCCAAAACCAAGCAGGAAT